TCACTTTGCTAGCACAGTGGGTAACAGGATGTTTAAGTCCCAAAGCAAATAAAGCCACATACATTGATTTTGGCTGAAACTAAGGAGGTAACCATGGAAACAGGAGAAGAGAAGCACAAACTATTGCACTGACAAGCACTACATGGCCAGGCTCCCTGGCATTATTTATCCTGACACCAGATTTAGAACAGAAGTTTCTCTTCTGTGAACTCATAATCTCTGCCTATTGTTTTAATTACTTATCAGAATAAACTTTCCAGTTAAAACTTTTATCTCCCTCATCTTGATGCCTCACCCTCATGAAATTTTCCTCTCTCCTTAGGTGATGACAAGTGTTTCTGCATTTGAAAGGAGATATGAACTCCACCACTTAAGGATAAAAAAGCCAACCAACCAACCAAACAAAACAACTAAAAAGTCAAGCTTCTACAATCAAATTCCTTAGCTGCAGGCTTACATTTTTTCTTTTATTCTTAATTACACTGAAGATTGGTGGACAGGCAAACAAGAAGGAAGGGAGTAGGGATGTCTCAGCCAGGAGGCTCTCTAGAAATTGTCCCTGGAGGGAATTCTGCCTGTGCTTTACAATTAACTACTCTACACAAATAAATGGATACAACAGCAACCTTTTGTAGAAGGAATAATTTGTCCTTCCTAAAACTTCAAACTGATACAAACAGTCTTTCAAACTTTTTTTTTAAAAAAACAGAAGAGCAAATAGCTAGCATCAAGGCAGGCAATCATCCCCACTGGATTTTCCCTGATTTTCATTAAAATATGTCTCTGTAATTTACCACAGCAAAATGTGTCATCAGCAACTGTACCAAAATATATTATTGTATGGTTGTTTCTTAATTTTTGGGCTCTAGATTGAAATTTGTGATTCTTGTAACACTTGTAGCTATTGTGAAACCATTGAAAAGCTCCATTAATTCAATCACAATGAGCAAAAGTGGCAGAAAATACTCTGTATCACAGTCAGGGCTTCTGGATATCCTTTATCGTGAAATGTGCACTATAATCACTGCTCCTATGATGCTGAGAATTCAGTGTTCTTGGCTATATATCAAAACCTATGATTTCAGGGCCCACTTGTGGGCAATATTTGTCAGCAGCAAGTCTGGACATGCTCAATGGTGACTTTTCTGTGTATGTTGATCCTGGTAGGATAAGGGCCAATACCATAAATATCTTCTTTAACTCAAACTAACTTTCTCTCAATTCATCTAACCACAGAGAAGCAGAATTCAGCAGAAGCAGTACCTGCACCCCAAGTGACTCAATTGGTCATAAAAACCATGGTAGAGCCTATAAGTAACAAAGACAGATGCCCTTGCTGGAGTTTTTATGTCAGAAGCCTTTGCCACAGGGCTCCAAATCCAAATCCCTATGCATAAAGCCTCCTAAAGCAAGCCAACAGCATTTGTGGAAAACATACCTCTTAGGATAATTTTTTTTTGTACAGAATGAGATTACTATCATTATCTAAAATATCTAAAACCTTGCTGGTTTTAAAATAGATATTTTTTATAGTCATGCTTTAAACGGCTAGAAGGTATAAATGAAGAAAAAGAACTCTATCTCAAAAATTTATCAGAGAATACATTTACTGTGCAGATTGCCATCCTAACTGTTGGATTTGCTTCTTCTTGCTAATAAGGAAAAATTAAAAAAAAAATCCCTTTTTCATATGGTCCCCTGGTTATTTCTCCACATGTGTAGCAGTTGCAGTAGTTAGGAGCTTTGTGTAAACAGGTATCTTTCTTCAATATATCTTTCTTATGAATATTTTAATAAAGCCTCAGTGTTGTACTTGTATTAGAATTGCAATGATAAAGCACAGAATTCAAACTGAGATGGAGTCTTAAAAGTTACAAATCAAGAGCACATGCATTAAGGTAATTTATTCTCTTTGAATATAGCACCAAAACGGCATTATGCTACTGGATATTGATCATAAGCACACCTGAAAGATGAAAGGTAGAGCTTTAAATGCCTTTTGAATCAAGAGTGGTTATGAATTGTAGTTCTTCAGCACTAGACAAGTGCTAAAATCTTTAGTATGTCTGATCAATACAGCTAAATATTGATCTATATTCTGTGTGCAAGGGGCATAATTTGACAATTTACATTAATACATAATTTGTCAACACAGATCTTCCAAAGAGAATCAAATGTGAAACACTTTTGCCTGGAATCTTTGCTGAAGTGCCTCAGAACAGCTCCTGCAAAGAATGATTTACATATTCTTTAGCTTAAATTTCTAGAGCACCTTTCCAGCTGTAATATTTGAACATTATTTTAAGTTAAACCAATGACATCCAAATAAAATCTAACAGACTAGTAATTCTTTCAAGAACAGGCAACTATTACCTGGCCTATGGAAATTTTACAGCTCTAATATTTCATGGCTGGGAGATACAAGCACCTTTTTCTCATTTGCTGAAAAGTCCATAAAGAGAGGGTACATATTTTAAGTAAAACAAGGACATAAGAAATGGTCTACTCTGTGTCTGCCTTACCAGGAGCATCGCAAGACCAATTATCCAAATATTTCCTGCAGAAATTTTTCAACTCCCTTCTGCAGAGATATTTTTCTCTGGCAAGAATTCCACAGTGGCAGATCTGACTAGGAACTCCAGGAGGTTTACAGTAAGCAGGAGAAGCAGTTGGAGGTCAGAGAACATACCCAAAGGCATAAAAAATGGTCATAAAGACCTAACTTTAATAGTCTAAATCACTTCTGAGGTGTCAATAGATGATTATCTATTTGTACTTCTGTTCTACAACCTCGGGAGAAGTAAGGAAAGTCCATGCAAGTCAGTAAAATGCTTCAATAACATCCCTGCATACAGGATTATGCGTGTAATTGTGTGTGCCCCTGGGATCATCCTTAACTATTCACTGTGATACGCATGAGGAATTGCCTTGTAATTGTTTTCTGAGAAGTAATCATTCATTTTCTTAGGTTATGCAATGAGCTTGAGCATGATAGCTGAAAAATTTTATAAACCTGTGATAAAATTGTACTTTTAAGCTAATAGTCAAAAAATCTACTCATTATTACTTCCACATATTGCTCAAAGGAAAGGAGTACCTTCTGTATATTTAAACTAAATAATATTCTAAAAATTGAATTATTTATTTTATTCCACTTGATATTCTATACTATTATTTTTAAAATTCTGTATTGTCTCATTTACAAATCCAAAAAAGCAAAAACAATGTGTTTGTGCCTTTCAAAAGGGACAGTCTAACTTCCTACTAGGTTGTGTCAGGAAATTAAAATAAGAATTGCTCATCACTAAGTCTTTCTTACTGGCCTCAAGAGGAGCACACAGACTGTGCTCTAGCAGCCTGAGAGGGAATGTGTTTAACAAAAGGATCTCAGTATCTCATTAAGAGCAATGAAGTTTGCAATATCGATTCAACAGACATTATTAGAAAGATTTTCTTAAATTATTAACTTCCAACATCAGCAAGGGCTCCAAAGGGAAAAGGAATGCAAGACAAAGAAGCTATTGAAGGATTAAAATAAGTAGCAATTACAAATGCAGTGAGTTGAATATTTTTTTTCATTTTCATATAATTTTAAAGTTCCTAATTTGATCTAATGTTCTTAAAATTGTTTTTGGTGGTGGCGCTTGAATATACAAGCTTGAGGACTAAGTTCTAAATAGATGTACTGAAATTTAGTTGCAACAGTGGGCCTGTTTCTTTGAAAAAATAAATGTTTCACCTAGACATGTTGAAGAAGACCAGTGTCTTTGAAAGAAAATCTGGTGCAAAATTTTAGACAGTGACTCAGGAAAACTTTGAGCTATAAGACTGAAGAGAAAACCTCTTAAAAATTGAAATTTTTGCTCAAGTTTGCTCTTTTGGCCTAATGCTTTCCCTCACGAACCAACACTTTCAGGCCATTCAAAAGCTGTACACCTCTTTAAATTCCTTATCACTATATAACTAAATACAGATTGTTTTTAATTACTATATCACACCACACTATACCTCAGCCTTGTCAGTACAGAAAGGTCTGAAAAATGAATGTGCTGATTATTAAATGATCCCCAAACTATTTCAATATGACCTTTGTGGCAAATTTAATGCTTTTTAAGTTGTTTTATTATTGTCCGTTGCCAATGGAATTTCAACTTCTGCCGTCTGCATCTGCCACAATTTCTTTATCTTGCTGTTAAAAGATACTTAATTACATGCAATAAAATTTATTTAAAATAATATTAAGACACTAAAAGCATATGCACTCAAACTTCTTGGTTGTATTTTCTACATCTATTAGTGCAGTCTCAATTTGACCACTTCATTTAAAAAGCCATTGTTTTGAGGCCATATTTTCTTTTAAAAGGTACCCTGGCTTATTTAGGATAGTTTGAATACCTTTTCATTCTCTCCCTTTGTTCATCATGCAGCCCTACTACTTGTTTCCTGCATGCTACTTAAATACTTCTGTGAATACATAATTATGAATTTAACAATTAGCTTTTCTTAGCAGACCATGCATGCAGCATTTGCTCTTCAAAAATTATTTTAACCTTTCTAGGACATGATTTTGCATGATGTGTTCACATATTTCTGAGAGGGGACTATAGCAAAATAACAAAAATACCACAAGTGCACATCAAATTAGAAGGACCAATTTGAGATGCTGAAGGACTAGCTTTTCAGGCAACATTTTATTTTATATGGTCAAATTGCAGCTCTCACTGTCTGTATATACAGGTTTTCAGCTACTCTGTAAATTGGCAACATACGAATGACCTGTCAAGGCCACCCTTCAATAGTGTCATTGACATTTTTTGCTCAACATGACCATCACATTTGTGTGGCAGAAAACGGTATTGAAACCAGTTTCAGCATCTACATGTAAAAACTAAGATATGTCTGGCAAACCTTTATCTCACTGAAAACAGCCCTTCCATATTCTGCAGCAATCCAGGCAGAGTTTCACTGGACAGCAACACCTTTGGGTATAAAGCACTGGCTCCATGTCTAAGCACTCACTTCATACATCCTTGGGAACTGGCATGCTAGCTTCTTCTAACTCTTGAAGGTTTGACTTTTCATGTATTCTAAAAACATAGGAAATAACAGATAAAAATTCATTAAGCTTCAGTAGAAATTATGACACAAAAAGTTGTTTTTCACAGAACTTATTAAGAATTTTATGATCAGACCTCACTGAATAGAATGACTGCCAGCAAATAGGAGAGGGCCATTTCCATGAAATATCAGTTCTAGAAGATACAGTAAATTTTGTCTATGGTTTCTGTTCTGTCTTCTGATAGCAAAGTAATATTGAAGCTCAAAAACAGAGATCAGTTGCTATGAGGGATCATGTCACAGGAATTTCCTGGTTTCTTTCAGACTGTCCCTCTGCAATTTGGGATCTTTGTGCTCTATCTGGCAGACAAAAGAAAAACAGCCAAAAAACAGAAATTAGGAAGGATGAAAAACAGCAGGAACTATTGAGGAAAGTATGACAAACTGTGTTTCTGACAGCATAATGCTCCTTGGATCGCATCACTAATTAAATTCTATGCAGTTTAAGTTTTGTTTTTTTCAGAAATATACTTTCTGAAAAAAAAATCTCAGAATTATACTTTGAATAATTGCTTTATTTATAGCAAGTAAACTATACATTGCTTTGTACATTTTTTTTTCTATTCAGTCCTCTACTTAAATTTTATACTTGAGAGTTAGAGTGGTTTCAGTTTTTTTCCTACTAGCCATTTTTTATTTTTAACAAGAAGCAGAATCTTACTTCAATTAGAGATATGGGTATCTTTATCACAGAGTAGTTATTTTTATAACATACTGTGAAAAGTTGTTAACTAGTTGTCTGTGGCATGCTGCAGCATTACATTTACTCAGTCAAGATCATGAATTTGCATTTAAAGAATGGTAAGCATACAAATCACAGTATAAAATGAAGTAAAAATACATAGAAAATGCAATGAGCCTTTCTATTTCAACAGTGATTTGTAGACTTGTATTTGGCAAGAGCAGAGAAAGAGAAACGCTGTTTCTGTTTAGCATGGGTATCATGGAAATATTATGATGTAAAAGTATGTATGGTGGGGAGCAGGGGATGGAGTGGGTACTAGATGCCATCTCTTTCCACTGCCACAACCTCTCACCTTCTGCTTTTTCATCCATTATCTTGTCGACTGCTTTGTTTATACTTCCATCTTTTCAAAATGTAGGTATTTGCTTTTCTATTCCAGGTTCATTGGCTCAGGCAGGTCTGCAAGCAGGTGGCTGTTTACCCTGAAGAAGATGCAATAATCACACACCTCATCTGGAAGCACTTGGCACATTATCAGAGGTGCTCAAGGAAAGCTCCCCTGCAAGCAGGTCCAGAGGCAGCTTAACCCTCACTGAACTCTGTGCTTTGGGTCTCCCCGTGGCAAATTCCATAAATCCTGGAAGATGGGAGCTTCACAATTTGATCTCATTATCCTGAGGAAAAACAGGATGACATCTGAGATATAAACCCTCATTTTCTTACAGTCCATTTGTTTCTCTAAACTACATAAATCCTGTTATACATTTAAGTCAGGAATATTTCAATGTTATTACACACTATACCTACATAACGTTTCTTGTTATGTCTCTAGTGCTTCCCATTAGCCATTAGGAAAATCTCCCATTTTGTCTCTCAGAGAGGTCCAGTGATAGATGCTACTGGCAGATAAAATTAAATATTTGATTCACCAAAGCACTGGAAACACATTTGAAAATAGATTAGGCATTGATTTTCCTGTATACTCTTTTACTGTGTTATTGACTTTGGTTTTTTACTTTATTCTTAGTGTCTTTGAAGTTTTTGTTATACTCCTGGGCACAAAAACTTCAAATACAAATAGTTATCCTCCTTCACACAAAACCAAATAGTTTTGTGTGAAGCTTAGCAGTTTGTTAAGAGGAACCATTGAAAATCTGTTAGCACAAAACTTACTGGTTTTGGAGTTTGATCAGTTCCACCCAAATGCCACAGCCTGCTGGCTGTGCACATCTGCTCTTCTAAGTGCTGTGAATTTGTTGTATTTGTTCTCTCTGGAAGTAAAACCTGTGCACTAATACAGATCCTTCAGCAAATTCAACAGTTCACTTGATTTCCACTTGTAATACATCTATCCACAGCGCTGCCTTGTTAATATTAATGCCTCTGCATGCAGACAGCTGATATAAATGAGTTGCTAATGGAACAGTTAGTCATCAGATGCCAACTTTTCAATTTAAAGTGTTCACACAAGTTAAATGAGACAATAGCTGTTGTGAAATGCATGAGGTAGGATTAAATCCGTAGCTGAATATTGCCAGAAGTTCTGGTCATCTCAATTTCAAAAAGTGCCAGCGGAAAAGAAAAGTGTATCAAAGCTCAATAAGGATAATCAGAGGTGCAGAATGACTTCTCTACATGACAAGATTGAACAGGTTCTTCATCTAAGAAATTTGATGGGGGGCATAAGATAACAGCATGGAAAACTATAATTCACATGAAGAAGCGATATAAAAAATTACTATTGACCTCAAAGAGCTGAGGGAGTCAGATGGTAATACCAGGTGACAGATTTAAGACTATCAGGAAGGGGTATTTTTTTATGATTTGTGTAATCACACAGTAGAATGGATTTTCCCAGGTTGGTTTGGATTTGAAAAGTATAAATGGATTTGAAAGCTCAGGTAAGTCGAAGCCAAGGAAGACGTGTCTACTAATGCCCAGTAGTTTGTGACAGCAGCAAAACTAACATTTTTACTGGAGGCCTTCAGCAGCTTACATAGTGGTAGGATCTCAAGTGTCCACAAACAGAGATTTTGGAACCTGACAACATTTTTTGGGGTACTTTAAATAGGTACAATAAGAGAAAATTGTTTTCCATAGTTGCTAACTTAGAGATGAGTCAATTGAACAATATCAGCAGAGTTGTGAATATCTTCCATGCCTGAAGCAGGGAAATCTTTCTACATGTGTAGGGAAGACATATGAATGAGGATGTGATGAAGACACTGACTTGCAACCAGAAAAGACAGCTCCAGCATCTACTTTTACATGAAAAAAAAGGTGTAGAGAAGAAGATTCTGCCTGGACATCATTTTCTGATTTTTTTATGCTGCACATATGGAGCATTAAATCTAAGGCTTTGAGCCCTGGCCTGACTTTGCAAAAAGGAAAAAATCCAACTTCTGGGAAGCAAATCCTGAGTTCCAGGGACAGTTTCACTTGTGAATACAAAGTGCATTACAGCATCTTCTGAACTTAAAGAGGAGGCTGGGCAGTTCAAGCAGGCATAAACCCAAAATCTTCAAACCTGTCTTTGCACCATCCAGTTATATCAGCAACTCTGAGTATGATGTTCTTTATTTACATATTCTTTTTTCTAAGTACATATTAGAGGAAACAGTTTTTAAAATTATCTGGGTCGATGGCTCAATTATTGCAATGGCTATGGAAAAATTGGTGCAAATCATCAGCCTCTCTTACTCTTCTGTTTTTTTTCTGAGAGCTTATGTATATTTTTGGCAATATTATACCAAGAGAATTTTTACTGAACTTTCTTTTGGCTTAATAGCTCCTCTGAAGTTTATCTAACTCTGTATTGAAAACCTCCCCTCTGCCACAGAAAATCCAGTAAGCACTCCAAGAGTTTGCACCTGTGGAAGCTGAAGCCTTAGTGTCTTGATAGGAGTAATATTATTTAATTTCTGCTTTAAAGGTAGAAATACCTGTTTCAGGTGATTCCAAATAATTTCTGATTGTAATATTCCAAATGATGATATGTTTATTATTTTTCTAGCACATGTAGGTAAACATGAATTTACTAAATGTAAAATAATAAACAAGCAATGGTATTATCAAGAATAACTTCAATAAACATTCACATAGAGGCTAGGAGTAATTAAATTCATTTCTGTTTAAAAAATTGTAACATGAAGAACTGTGCTTTTAATTGGCATGACATATATCTATACCTTGGCCTTATTATCAGCCAAAAGGCCTTTCTACAGGTCCTTTGACTTGTCCTTTGAAAAGTGCTATGCCTTCTAAGTATTATATACTTCCATGTCATCTGTCTTCTGCTTTTTTTCTTCATTCTATTCCCAACTTACACAAGTTTCATTGCTCCTAACAAGCCACATGAAGTAATTAAAAATGAATAAACCAATAAAAGTTTCCACAAGGACACAAGAAACAGCTAGTAGCCATCATTAAGCCCTGAAATAACTGTAACAACACACTGAACTGTAACCAATCTATGAGAAAATAAAACATTATTTGACCAGGAGGGAGAAGTAAGTATTTTATTTACAAAATCAGTGTAATAAGGCCAGATTAAGACATAAATCCTGGGAAAGAGAGGGAGGAAGAACCCCAGTGATCTCTAACTGGCAATTAACTCCAGAACATGTTAGTCAGGTGGACCATAACCTTAAACTTCAGTAACTTTGCAGTTCAAAACTGAGCATCTGTGTACAGCCACCTCACCCTTAAATGGTAAGGTTCTGACTCTTCTTTTAGTGGTCTTACCCTTGATATGAGGACTCAATAGAAAACACTAGTAATTTCATTTTGCTGCCGTGCTGTGATCAGCATGGGAAGAAACATTATTTTTCTAGTGGATAATGTGTTTTAGGTGCTCAGATTTTGATTATTACAGTGACAAAGCTGATCAAGTCTTCAGTGTCATACTGACACTGGAAGACAGTGAGAACCAAAGAAATAATGTACTCAGAAGTAGTGGATATCTCAGGTTGTCTCATGGAGAAATCATATTTCTCTCTACAGGAAACGCAGGCTGTGATACTTTCCCATTTCACGTCCTGGTATCTTCCATGCAGGAAAGAAGAGGAGATAAAATGAAAATTTTCCTTAATAGTATAATGGAAGTAATATATTTTTTCCCTTTCTAGATTTCTTCATGTCAGTCTTGCAAATACAGGCCTCTTTAATGGGAATGTATCTGATATATTACAATACCAAAATCCAGTATATATCTCTATGATCTAAATAGGCTAGGAATGTCAAACTTTTAAAACTTTTAGATATGGGGAATTTCCATTCATCTGCAACATTAGAAGGTTGAGTCTTCTATCCCTAATTGTGAAGGTCTTTGGAGATATCCTAATTCACCCAGGAAGTAAAATTAAAACCCAAGACTTCTCCAAAACAAAACTTAGGCCAAGCTACCCTTGCAGGTTTGTAGTACTAGTGAGAGGAAAATTGTATCAACTGGAGATATGTAAATAAAATATTCTATTCCTTATTTCATATTGGGAGCTTCCCTATTTTTTGTTCGCTAACTAAAAACATGGTTTGAACTTCTAAGAATATGCTGAAAATGACAGTTTCATTCCAAAAATGGAATTTTGAATGTTAGGTTTATTCAGACTGTTATAAAGCATTTAAAAAATCTTAAACTCTCTGGCTAGACCTGAAGTGTATTAAGATTAGTGAGCTTCAGAACCCTGTGCCTATGTTTTACTACAGCCATTTTTATCAGAAAAATTCATGATCTCATAACAGACAATACAAGAGTTGTTCAAGAAAGCTTTTAAAAAATTTACAAATCTATGAAGGTTACTCTTAATTATATGACATTAATTGCCTTTATTAATTAATTTTCTTCTGACTGAATCTAAATACTTTACAGATCTTTCACAGGATCGCTACATGAAAAATAAATTACCATATTTGCCTAGTTGCTCTGTCAATATTTGCATGATAATGTTTATGTTTTCTTTACAGAGCTCTCATATTTTTATAATGTAGAGTTGTCTTTCAAAATCTATATATATGATAGAGAAAACTTTTCCAGTTCTTACAGTATCATTAGATGCAATTTCTCTGATACTGTAAATTTAGAAACATTTCATAATTTTGTCTCATAGAACATCTAGCTAGTGACATGCTGCCACTAAATTAATGTTGTAAGATATCCATATATCATCGTTGCAGACTAGGATATGATTCTTCTGCTTTCCTGGAGAAGACAAAATTTTCAATACAGAATATAAACATGCACTCTTTAGAAGTCTATGTCTTCTAGAATATCAGTGAAAGTGTTACGATTTCAGGTGTTTAAGAAATAACCAGTTTACTTCAAAATGTACATTTTTCTGGTGATACCCCTTAAGAGTTGCTTTGTTGTACTCACTGTGAATATTTTTCTATATTTATAATTTCTTAGGCCTATAAATGAATCAGGAGTCTTTTATTCAAAGAAAGAGCGTAAGAGTTGTTACAAACAGCTCTGCACTAGTAAGCA